TCATTGACACAACAAAAGACCTGGCAGCTCTGTTCGAGCTGCAGGCCCAAGCCACGCCCGATGCCATTGCCCTGGAAGACGAGCACCGCACCCTCACCTACGCGGAGCTCGACAGCCTGACCTGGTCCCTGGCGGACCGCCTGCGCCAGTACGGCGTCGGCCGCGACGACCTGGTGGGCGTCTTGATGGGACGCAGCGCAGACAACGTCATTGCCTCCCTGGCCGCTCTGCGCGCAGGAGGAGCCTTTCTCGTGCTGGAGCTGGCGTACCCGACGAGCCTCCTCCACGATGTCATTGACGACGCGAAGCCCACCGTCATCATCACGCAAAAGGCCCACGCCGCGAGCATCAAGTCCAGCGTAGCGACCATCGTCATCGACCAGCCCGAGCCGGAAGCCGTAGACGGCCACGCGGCCCCCGTCGTAGTCGAGACAAGAGAGCCGCTCCCCGCGAGCGACGACCTGGACCGCCTCGCCTTCGTCTCCTATTCCTCGGGAACCACCGGCAAGCCCAAGGGCATCGCTAACCCGCACCGGGCGCCCGTCCTGAGCTACGACCTGCGCTTCCGCACGAGCGACCTGCGGCCCGGCGACCGCGTGGCCTGCAACGTCTTCTTCGTCTGGGAGATGCTGCGGCCGCTGCTCAGGGGCGCGACGACGGTCGCCGTCCCGGACGGCATCAGCTACGACCCCATCGGGCTCGTCGACTTCCTCGCCGAGAGGCGCATCACGGACACGCTCATGACCCCCACCCTGCTGACCACCGTCCTGTCGCGGCACCCGAGGCTGGGCGAGGAGCTGCCGGAGCTGAGGTCACTGTGGCTGAACGGGGAGGTGGTCACGACGGATCTCGTGCGGCGGGCGTGCAGCGCCCTGCCCAACACTCGCCTCCTTAATGTCTACAGCGCCAGCGAGACGCACGAGATTGCCGTGGGCGACATCAAGACTTTCGTCGACTACGAGGCCCGCGTCTGTCCTGTTGGACCGCCCGTAGACCCCGAGCACATTTACATCCTCGACGAGGCGGGCAACAGGCTCGAGCCCGGTGTAAGCGGCGAGCTGTTTGTCGGCGGCGACCTGCTCGCGAGGGAATACCTCAGCCTCCCCGAGACGACGGCGGCGGCCTTCCAGATGGACCCCTTTGTCAAGAACAAGGAGGGCGCGCGGATGTACCGCACCGGCGACATGGCGCGGATGCTTCCGTCGGGCCTGCTCGAGATCACGGGCCGCGTCGGCGGCATGATCAAGACGCGCGGCTACACCGTCCAGCCCGGCGCCGTCGAAACGACCATTGTCAAGCATCTCGCGGTACGGGACTGCGCCGTCGTTGCCCACGGAGAAGGCCTGCAGAAGCAGCTGGTGGCCTACATCGTCCCTGATACGGAAAATGTTCAGGGTCGCACAATCGTCGTCATCGACGAGTCTGGCCACAGCCCCGTTGCCCGACGTGCCCTCTCCGCCCATCTGGCGCACTACATGATCCCGCCTCTGTGGGTTGAGCTTAAGGAACTGCCCACGCACGCCGTCTCCGGCAAGACGAACCTCAAGGCACTGCCTCCTCCGCCTCGACCACGGACGCCTGAGCAGATGGCCGCCAAGCCGGAGAAGAACGTCACCATCAAGATGGACACCATCGTCAAGATGTGGTCCGCGGCGCTCAACGTCCCCGTCACGAGCATCACGCCCAAGCACGACTTCTTCGACCTGGGCGGCCACTCGCTCATCCTGGCCGATCTCGCCAGCAGACTGACCAAGGCCTTCGGCTTCCCCGTCCCTCTCGGCCCCCTAGCCGGCAACCCGACTCTCGACGGCCACCTCGAAGCCGTCAAGGCCGCCCGCGACGGCCACGCGGAGCAAGTCCAGGCCGACCTCCCCGCCGTCCTCCGCGCAGACGCCCAGCTCCCCGAGGACATCCAGCCGCACGCCGCCGCGCCGCAGATGAAGCGCCTCAGCGACGCCGACACAATCCTGCTCACCGGCTCGACGGGCTACCTAGGCGCCTTCCTGCTCAAGGCCCTCCTGGAGCACACCTCGGCGCACATCCTCTGCATGGTCCGCTTCACCGAGCCGACCGAGGACTGCCGCCCCGCCGGCACCGCCCGCATCCGCAAGAACCTCATCGACCTCGGCCTCTGGAGCGACGCCATGCTCGACCGCATGGAGATTGTCCCCGGGAACCTCGCCCGCAGCCGCCTGGGCCTGTCCCCCGAGGCCTTTGAGGAGCTCGCCTCGCGCGCGCAGGTCATCGTCCACGCCGCGGCGACGGTGAACCTCGTCTACCCCTACGCGGCCCTGCGCAACGCAAACGTCGGCGGCACGAGGGAGATTCTCCGGCTCGCGTCTCGCGGGGGCGCGAC